GCTTCCTCGATGAAGCAACGCGGTCGACGGGACGTCGTCGCGAGGGGGCGTCGCGGGGGACCGTAGATCGGTGGTTGGGGCGGCCGGAGGGGGGTAGCGGAGCAGCAGCTAATAATCGACAAAAGGAGGATGATCGGAACGCGGGGATTCCGTAGCTCGGAGCAGTGCCCGGCCGGTACACGCGCTAAACTGGTATTTAAAGCGGTTATCATTTATCGCGAAACCGTTCCGAGACGGCGATCGCCTTTACACGGGATCCTTCCTTTTTTCGTGTTCTTGGTCGCGCTCACACGCGTGTACTGGGCGGTGCACGTGCTGCCAGGTGATCTCTCGGCCGGCGATCCAGCGGGAACGCGACGCGACGGTGCCCGGCACACGGACAAGGACAGAGGGAAACGGAGACAGAGCGTCGGCCCCCGAGACTTAATTGCGGAATACCAGCGCACGTGCAGACGTCGATAACGCGCATCCTTCCCGGTCTCTGACATCATCGATCAGCGCCGCGTTTCTCTCCTTTTTGCGAACCTCCACCTCTTCCGTTCCGTTCCGTTCCGTGACGTTCTTTTGCTCGATCAACCTCGATGCGCTAGGCGATCGCTCGATTTTTCGCGACTACGGTTATTAGTCAAGATCGGCCGGTATTCCTGCCCGCGAGACACTCTCCGCCACCGTGCCGCCGCTCTTCTTCTTCTTCGTCTTCTTCATTCGAGAACGCCGGTCGCGATTCTATCCTTTCATCACGTGCTACCGCTTTTGTCCGACTTGTTAGGTACAATGTAACGGCCCGGTCCGCGAGGCATTTCAACGGTTCGCCTGCTTGCGAGTTTTTACGGCTGTTAGATATTGCGATTTTTTTTGGGAAATCTTCATCGTAGAAAGTTCGCCGGATTTTTGAGCAGAGGCGGCGTTGGTTAGAGCGTGATAACTAGACTGCGGATCTAATAGGTATTTTGTTTTTTTTCTTCTTTTTTTCTCTTTTCTTTGACGAAAATGAGTAGCTGCGGTTGGGAACACTCGGATTAAGATTTAGGGGGTAGAGAAGTGTGAAATGTATTACTTTCGTTTTAGTCGGATTATTAAAGAAATGAAATTCTAAAGAAGATTTTGTTGTACACAACGAAGGGAGAACATTTTCTTTTTTTGTTCACTTAAAGATCCGAGTGTTTTCATTTTTATCAATTATTTTTACGTTTGAACGTGACGATAAAAGTCTACTAATCGTTCTATGTGACTGTATATGTGTTGCTGTATAAAAGTGACAATCACACTTGCTGTTTTATACTCAGATTTTTCGTCATTTTTATTACAGCGTATGTTCGAAGTAAGAAATTTATTGGATCATTTTCTATGAAACTCTTTACAATTTCAACAATTTTTGAAACAGAACATCTAGAACCGGTCATTTCGACTGGAAAGGTAGGTTTCGTGTTAAAAAAGAAGTTTTTATTGTATTCTAAGAATATAAGGATTCAAAGAATATAAAAAGGTTAAAAGTGAAGGTTACAATAAATTGAGTATTTTCAGTTTCGGTTCCATTAACTGCGGATGTCATGCATTAATAACACGAATGAATAGGTCAAACACAAATCTGAGAATATTGTTACGTTATTCCCAACTTCTTTTGGTTATTAAAAGAGGAAAGATAGTTTCGTTTAGTTTATGTTTCTTGTTTTTCAAAAAGATCCGGTGTTGCATCGGTTCTCCATAACTGCTTCGATCAAAATCGATCTACGTATAATAATTTGGAAGAATCACTTTTGGAACCTTTTAATAACTCTATATAATAAAGCCCTTTAATAACTTAATAATCCTTATTTCTTAAATAACCTAGTTCATGATAGTGGATCCGGTAACTGTGCGATGACCAATTCCTGTGCCCACGGTTCGTTCTCGGGCATACTTAACCCTTTGCACTCGAGTGGCGACTCTGATGCACTACTAAAATTCCAACATAATTTTTACATGATCAAAGTTTAGATATAAAAAATTGTCGACAGTCTAACTGTTGCACGAGCCACGAGGCTCAATTTCATACGCATAAAATGCACTTTGTCACATAAAATGGAAATACCATAGGTCGGAAGAATCATTTTAGATTTACCGTTAAAATGGATTCGAGTGCAAAGGGTTAAGAAAGGGCAGTTCGCCGGAGCCATTCCCAAGGCACGGGCCGACGAAGGTGTTCGCGCCACCGCGAAATTCTCCGTTGGCAAACCGTGCATCCGGGCTAACTTCCTCCGATTTCGATCTCATCGCGAGAGCAATAGCGAGCCGGAACGAGCTCCCGCCTAAGCGGGAAGTTCTATCGACTTCGGGAAACGCACGCGGCAGAAGATCGAAGAACGTCCGAGTGTGGCGCGGCAGCAGACACGCAAATAAACAGTCCGCGCGCGTCTATATACAATACGGAGGGATGAGATATCGCACACCAGCCGCGCCTGTTTCGTGGCTGTTCCGTGGTGGTTCGGGTGGGTGCAAGGGATTCGCGGGGGCAATAGCGAAAATTGTGGCGAGGAGAAGCGCGCGAGTACAGACAGTCTTCGAGCTGTCCATACGCAGCCCGGAACGTCGGAACGGAAACCAATCCCAGCGAGCAACGAGCCTCGACTTCTTGCGGAAGATCCCCTCTGGCTTCCCCCGCTCCCCTCCCGTCTTATCCCTTCCGTCTTTCATCCGACATTCACTTGGTGCAAGAAGTTTCGTGTTCCAGCCAAGTATTCGCCAAGTTTCGAGAAGGCTTACGTACTAGCTTTCGCTCTTCCGTCCCGCCTCACTCCCGACCCGGCATCTCCTTCCGGGCCCGTCTGCCTAACGCACACTCGCGCGCGCGCGCGCACGCGAGCAGCTCTCCGCGCCGGACAACAAAGATCTTCCTCGCTTGTTGCTCTCCGAGTAATCTCGCGGGTCGACGTGGTGCGGAGCAGAACAGAACAGAGCAGAACAGAACAGAACAGAGCAGAGCAGAACAGAGCGGAGCGGAGAAGAGAGCGTTCGGCGCGGCACGCGCGCTAAGAGGATTGCGTGGCCTCCCTTTGCGTTTGCATCGGTAATTAGACCAACGGCTCGTTCAGCCGGTTGCCTTCTTCCCGAAGAACCGAGTAACGCTCGCCCGCTGGCTTCCTCCGACAACCCCTTTTGCTCTTCCTTCGCCGTTTCGTCGGGCTACGAGCGCGACGCCGCGCCCCGANGTTTCGTTTAGTTTATGTTTCTTGTTTTTCAAAAAGATCCGGTGTTGCATCGGTTCTCCATAACTGCTTCGATCAAAATCGATCTACGTATAATAATTTGGAAGAATCACTTTTGGAACCTTTTAATAACTCTATATAATAAAGCCCTTTAATAACTTAATAATCCTTATTTCTTAAATAACCTAGTTCATGATAGTGGATCCGGTAACTGTGCGATGACCAATTCCTGTGCCCACGGTTCGTTCTCGGGCATACTTAACCCTTTGCACTCGAGTGGCGACTCTGATGCACTACTAAAATTCCAACATAATTTTTACATGATCAAAGTTTAGATATAAAAAATTGTCGACAGTCTAACTGTTGCACGAGCCACGAGGCTCAATTTCATACGCATAAAATGCACTTTGTCACATAAAATGGAAATACCATTTATTAATTAATTCATTTAGATTTACAGTTAAAATGGCTTCGAGTGCAAAGGGTTAACACCATATTCATCTCACAAAACATATTACATACTTTTATTCAGAAACAAACAAAATGAAAAAATACAAGAACGTAACACGTCCATTCGATAAACACAAATCTAATTATGCCCGAGAGCAAACTAAAGAACTGGTCATCCCGCTGGAACCAGCTCCACTACCCTATATTATCAAATCTCTCGCAGCAATCATCCCGGTGAAATAATAAAGCCGTCCGGCGGAATACCGTGGACGCCGGTAATCAGTTATTCGATCTCGTAAGAACGAACCAAGTCGACTCCGCGAGCCGTGGAGCAGAGATCGGTGGAGATCCGTGGGGGTCGGGGAATCGGCACGAACCGCGCATCGACCCGGGGTCGGTCGCCCCTCGACAAAAGGCGAGCAGCGTGGAACGAAACCGGCGCTGACTATTTTCTCCGGCACGCGTGCAGCTCGCTCGGAGGGCAGGGACCCGTCCTATGCGCTCGTAGAAGTCTCCGGGAGCGGGCAGGCGTGCACGAGCGAGAGGGCGAGAGGGCGAGAGGGCGATGGCGAGGGCGCGGGCAGCAGTAGGTCGAGTCGGGGTCCGAAAAGCTTACGGCCTACGTCCTTGAGAGATCCTGCAGGCCGTGCACGGTGCAGTGTCCACCAGTAGATTACAGTCCGTGCGTGGTTGCGTTGGTGTTAACTCCTTCTCTCCGTCTCTGTCTCTCTCTCTCACTCTCCTTTTCTCCGTCTCTCTCGGTCGGGCCCGGTTCCACGGAGCCGCACACTGCCGAAGGGGGCCCAGGGTTCCGCGCAACGGGGGTACGGGCGGACGATGTGTCGATGGCGTCGGTGTGCGTTACGGACACGTGCATCGGCATCGGGGCCCGTGCACACACGCGGAGGGACACGGGGCCCGACCGATGGTATCGTCGGAGGTAGAACCAGGGGGGGAGGGCAACGTGGGGTACCGGGACAGTCGAGAAGGAGAAGACGGTAAAAGAGGTGGAGGAGGATGCGGCGGTGGTGGTGGCGGCGAGAGGAGCCGCGGGGCCGGGAGCAGCCGTACAAGCATGGTGGTGGTATCGCGCGCGAGAGTAGGGGGTCAGAGAGGGCGCGGGGAGGGGTCGAAGTACCGCTATACCTGGAGTTGCCCGAGGCGAAATACATACCTACCTACCTACCTAGTATATATTCTCTCAGCTCGTTGTACTCGGTACGCTGTTCTCTGTCCGGCGAACGCGTCGCCTCTTTTTCCTTCGCCAGCCGACGACTCTCTACCCCCTTTCGTCGGGCTGCGCCGAGCCAGCGAGGTATACCGCTGCAAGTCCACCATGATGCACGCCATAGAGCGCACCGCGGCCACCGTAAGACATTGCGGCAGCAGTGCCTTACCTTGCCTTGCCGACGTCCGTCGCGGTGCCTCTGCGGCCGTCGCCGTTCCGAGCTCGACACGAGTTTCTCTTCGTCGTTACACGGCTTCCCCGTTTCCTTCCACGTTTTCCCCTCGTTCTTCATGTTCTCGTTTCTTGCGGCGCCGGGATCGGGTACGACGATCTCATCCGCCAGACAACAACGGCTCCCCGAGCGAGATCGTCGACAGACACGTCGGCCAGCTGCAGGGGATTGGTGAAACCAGGAAATCGTGCGACGCCGATTTCTCGACTCGCGATTCAGGTACAATTTCGTTTCTTCTGTCCTCTTTCTTTCTCTCTGTATCTCTCTCTCTCTCTCTCTCTTTCTTTCTCTCGCTCTCTCTCTCGCTCACTCACTCTCTCTGTCCGCGACGGTGGTTCCGTTTCGCCCGACTTTCTTCGAACCGCGAACGAGGAGAAAGAGATCGCGCGGCGGACCGTTCCTCTTTCCGTTCGCGCCAACATCCGGCTTCCAGCCGTGTAAAAAACGGATTCCTGGTGTCGAGGCCCGTCCCCAGGCTCGGGGAGAAGCGAATTCGAGGAGATCAGCAGCGGCAACAGCAGCAGCCGAACGTGCACCAAGGCAGTCTCGAAGAGGAACACGAAGAAGGTTCTCCTCCTTCCCCACCTCTACCTCCGCCACTACCTACCGCTACCTCGATCTCCTCCTTCCTCCACCTCCACCACGCGTACAGTCGCACGGTCGCCGGCGAGCAATACGGTTTATGGCCGCGTGACACTGTCCCGGACAACATCGGCATCCGCAAACAGCTGGATCCACGTTGGATCGGGTTGGATCGCAGCTAGGATCACCGTTCCCGGATTCACCGTCACCGGGCTAGCACGACGCAACCGAGCCGCGCGGCGTTGACTCGGCCGCCGCGTACAACCGCGACACAGAGAGCTGATCCAAAAAGAGCTGATCCGGTCGGTCGCGATCGTCGTCGGTGAACGTATATCTCTCCTCTGTACTCCGGTAGAGAACTCCCGTGGTTGAACCGACGAGCTTTGTCGCGCTGGTCCAGTGGTTGTTCGAACGTATATCGGTCGCCGCGGACCGCTATGCGGATTCTGTCGTCGACGTCGGGACGGAGCAGGGACTGAAAAGAAAAAAGGGGACCGGCGAGGAGATCGGCGACGACGTGGATCGGCGTGGAAGCTAACGGAACAGGAGGCGCGTCCGGTGTCGATCGCGAGTGAGAGTGTTTTTCCCGTGTAAGAAGCGTCCGCGGCCAGGACCGTGGTCCTCGCAGGAACATCAACATCTGGTAGCGTGTTTCCGGGCGCGCGAGCCAGCGCGTGGACGTCCCGTTCTCCTTGCTTGTTGTGCGTGGCTTGTTGGGCTGGCTGGCTTCCTGCGCCGCTCTTCCTTCCGTGTGACTCGAACGTTCGGCAACCGGGCCGGGTTTCCTCTTCTGTCGGCTCCCGCGCGACTCGCCGTGCCCGCCGCCTCTCCGTGCTATTCCGTCCTCTCCTGGCCGTCCAACCAGGCCGTCACGCGTGCACGCGCGCACCCACAGGCGCAAACACGAGGGGGCCACAGGCACACGCACGTAAAGCACGCGTGATATACCGAATCGCGCGGACGGACCCTCGGTGCTTCTTCGGTTGTTGTTTTTTTCTGTGACACTGTGACAACGCCGACCCTCCTGACCAACCGAACCGCTCTCGGAGGAGGAGGAGTCGAGGAGAGCCGCCGCGAGTTCGGTATGCCGTGGATTAGACCGTCTTCGAGCGTTTTGTGAACGATCCCCGATCCGGGATCTCGGTAGCCGGTTTACCAGTCGAGGGAGACGAGTCAGCTGTCGACCAAGGATTACTACTCCTGCCAGCCATCCGGCGGACGTCCATCTTCTATTCGCAGAGGTTAGTCACTCTCCGATCCATTCCGCTCCGTTCCGGTATAGTACACATGCGCGCGCGCGCACCCGCGCGCATACCGATTCCTCGCGGATCTGTGTGCAGCTGTGTATATGTGTGTATGTGTGTGTGCGTGTGTGTGTGCGTGAACGCGCTTAGACGCCGGTTCGCGTGATCCCGGACGATCGTGCGAGCGTGTCCCCTTGCCGAGCCGCGTATCCGTGTATCCGCTCGATCGTGTACGTTTTTGATACGCGCGCTCGCTCGTCTGCGGACACCAGCACCAGCCCATCGGGAACCGTCGTGTGGGCAGAGGACTCGCTCGCGCCAGCCACACACGCCGCGGAACGCGAGCCTCGCTGTCGCACGCTACCGACACTGCACGCGTGTTACAGCCATTCCGCCGTCAAATGGTACAGACTTTGCCACGTACGACGTCTAACGAGCGTTTAGGACCCTTCGTTCTATCGAAGCCGGAAATACGAAATAGTTTTTCAGTGGACAATAAATTGTACAAGGTCAGCACACTTTTTTATAGCGACGCAAACATTGCCACGTAAACTATACCCTCATGGCAACCTTGGTTGTCTCGAAGTTATTCGAGACTCAAAATACTTTAAATTCTCCCTAATTGACGTCCGGATTGTACAGAAAAATGGACAGTTTGGGAACAGGAGATACCATTATTCGAGCCTCGCATCTCGTTTTTGTAATTGTTGACAATCGGCAACTATAAAAATGATAACTATAATAATTGTTAGCAAGTATAAATGATAATCGTGTCCCTTCTTTCAAAATTGTCTATTTTCGTTTACAAGCTGAGGGTTAATTAGAGACAGAATTTACTGTACTGTTTGAGCAGTCATTAAACGGTACATGGGAGCAAAGTTTTTGTACCGATAAAAGCTCTGTCCTGATCGAACCCTTGGTTGTTTCAAGGCTATTCAAGTTGCGAACTAAACTAGTCTTTCGAATAACCATTAAGTGGTACAAGGGAACAAAGTTTTTACAGCGACACAAACATTGCCACGTAAACTGTTCCCTCGTTGCTTGGCACCCTCGATTGTCTCGAAGTTATTCGAGATGCAGGAAATTCTCCCTAATTGTCCTTCAGCTTGTAAACATAAATGGACAATTTGGGAACAGGAGATACCATTATTCGAGCCTCGCATCTCGTTTTTGTAATTGTTGACAATCGGCAACTATAAAAATGATAACTATAATAATTGTTAGCAAGTATAAATGATAATCGTGTCCCTTCTTTCAAAATTGTCTATTTTCGTTTACAAGCTGAGGGTTAATTAGAGACAGAATTTACTGTACTGTTTGAGCAGTCATTAAACGGTACATGGGAGCAAAGTTTTTGTACCGATAAAAGCTCTGTCCTGATCGAACCCTTGGTTGTTTCAAGGCTATTCAAGTTGCGAACTAAACTAGTCTTTCGAATAACCATTAAGTGGTACAAGGGAACAAAGTTTTTACAGCGACACAAACATTGCCACGTAAACTGTTCCCTCGTTGCTTGGCACCCTCGATTGTCTCGAAGTTATTCGAGATGCAGGAAATTCTCCCTAATTGTCCTTCAGCTTGTAAACATAAATGGACAATTTGGGAACAGGAGATACCATTATTCGAGCCTCGCATCTCGTTTTTGTAATTGTTGACAATCGGCAACTATAAAAATGACAACTATAATAATTGATAGCAAGTATAAATGATAATCGTGTCTCTTCTTTCAAAATTGTCTATTTTCGTTTACAAGCTGAGGGTTAATTAGAGATAGAATTTACTGCCATTAAACGGTACAAGGGAGCAAAGTTTTTGTACCGATAAAAACTCTGCCCTGATCGAACCCTTGGTTGTTTCAAGGCTATTCAAGTTGCGAACTAAACTAGTCTTTCGAATAACCATTAAGTGGTACAAGGGAACAAAGTTTTTACAGCGACACAAACATTGCCACGTAAACTGTTCCCTCGTTGCTTGGCACCCTCGATTGTCTCGAAGTTATTCGAGATGCAGGAAATTCTCCCTAATTGTCCTTCAGCTTGTAAACATAAATGGACAATTTGGGAACAGGAGATACCATTATTCGAGCCTCGCATCTCGTTTTTGTAATTGTTGACAATCGGCAACTATAAAAATGACAACTATAATAATTGATAGCAAGTATAAATGATAATCGTGTCTCTTCTTTCAAAATTGTCTATTTTCGTTTACAAGCTGAGGGTTAATTAGAGATAGAATTTACTGCCATTAAACGGTACAAGGGAGCAAAGTTTTTGTACCGATAAAAACTCTGCCCTGATCGAACCCTTGGTTGTTTCAAGGCTATTCAAGTTACGAACTAAACTAGTCCTTCGATATAATAGTCTTTCGAACAACCATTAAGTGGTACAAGGGAGCAAAGTTTTCACAGCGACACAAACATCGCCGAGCACGTTGTATCCCCAGTGTTCGAATCCTCGGTTGTCTTCTCCACGAAGCTATTCGAGATACGAAATAGTTTTTAAGTGGTCGTCAAATGGCAGATGAAAGCATCCGTTTTATAGGGGCACAAATTTCGCCACGCACGGCGTAACCCGGCTGTGCGTTTGGGAGGCTCGGCGGTCTCGAAGCCGTTCAATGTACGAATCAGTTCTTAAATGACCGTTAAATGGCGCTAGGGTGCAAACTCCTTATGCGAACACAAAGTTTGCCACGTACAGCGTAACTCGGTTAAGCGTTCGAACCCTTGGCTGTCGCGAAGCTATTCTCGAGATACGAGCTGGTTTTTAAATAGCCATTAAATATGGTACGAGGGGGAGCGAACTTTTTATAGCGACACAAATTTTGCCAAGCAGAGCGTCACTCGTCTAAGCGATTGTATCTTTCATTGTTTCAAAACCATTCGAGATAAGAAATAGTTTTTAACCGGCCGTTAAATGGTACCAGATTGACAAGCTTTTTGTACCGACGCTGCGTGTGTGTAACAGCTATTCTACATGAAATTGTACGATTGTTGTCATCTAATAAAAGTTTCTCTTAAACGTTTCGGCTCGCGGCTGTCTCAAAGCCATTCGAGATAGGAGATAGTCCTTAAGTAGCCATTTAATGGTACGGGAGAACAAACTTTCTCACGTGCTTTGTCTACAATGTTTGAATCCTTACCTGTCAAGAATTGTTTCTGTTACATTTTCAAGGTAATGGTAACGTAATGTGATAGTGTCGTTTAAATTGTTTACTCAAGAAACGATTTTTATTAAGAGTGACGAAGTGTTTGATTTATCATTGAGCTTTCTATAAGGGAATTTGGCATTTTAACATGAATTTTCTATTATTATTCGATGATACGCTTAAGGACAATTTTGCTAATGTAAAAAGTGTGCGTACACTTGAATTTTGTCTTAATGATTCTTGAGGTACCGAACAAGATCGACGAAGAGAACTGAACAAATATCGCTGGAAACGGAAGTATCGATCATGATTTGGGTCGCACTCGCAAATGTCACGAGTTCACTGTGCCTTGGTAAGTAGTCAAACATAGGATTACAATGAATAACATGTTTACGGACCAGAGATACTTCCGTTTTCAATCGAATTTATTCTGGTTTTTTTTCCTGTACTGTATCTGGAAAATGATTAAAATGAAGTGTTTATCTTACAAGTGGTCTGTCTAATTTGTCTTTAAATTGTGACACTGCTGATAATTAATCGTTATTGATCCGCAGAATTTCATTGCGTCGTAATTGAAAGTTTTATAGCAATTTTCGTATCGAAATGTAACTTGGATGATCCCGAAAAATACCGAATTTAATTCTCTGATTTTGTACGATTCTCCGAGAGAGTTACTGCGTTCATAAAATGCTTGGATAATCTCTGCTGTGTATTTCTTTTCAAATTCCAGTATTTCATGTTCTCGTAGTCGCATTTACTATTGCAGATTTGATACGAAGTTAAGCTCTTCATGAATTATAATCCTGTTCGACCACGGTTTTCCTTGAATGATTTTTACATGTAATTAAGCATATTCAATCGCCTTGGAAATAAACCGTTTAATTGTCCGTTTCAGCAATTTGCTTCTTGTATTGTAAAACCAGTTATTCTGACACATTGTATTTTATTGCTGTCGTTTAATAACTGCACAGTAAATACGGCCTTTTCGATAACGTAAAAGTGTTTAGTATTACAGATTGTTTAGAAAATGCAGTTCCACGATGTGCAAAGTATATTAAAATATTATTTTCTATCCTTCGAAATCAGCATATCAAACTTACAGTAATCATGAAAACGAAACTTTGACAATTAATGAAATTTTCAATACTGCCTTTTTATACATCTTATAAAATTAATCTATATAAATTGTTTGATTCTTCTAACGATTTAGTACAATATAACCGTCGACCAGTACCATAATCGATATTAAAGAAATAAGATTCGTTCATCGTAGATTCTTTCGCGGTAAGTAGCTGCAGTAATTCATAATCAGACACGTTGGCGGAATTGCATTCAGTAGCAGAGACTCGTCGTTTCGTAACGTTCTCTATCCTGTTCAATACTTCAAAAATGTTAATTCTCGCCTAACAAAGCTTAATTTATTTATGGGAAAACTATTCAGTGTTAGATATTGTCATGTAGGCAGATTCCAAACACGAGGGATACAGATTAATATAATAATAATAATAATACATAATTAATATAATAATAATATAATAATAATTAATATAATAATAATATAATAATAATTAATATAATAATTAATATAATAATTAATATAATAATAATATAATAATAATTAATATAATAATTAATATAATAATTAATATAATAATAATATAATAATAATTAATATAATAATTAATATAATAATTAATATAATAATAATATAATAATAATTAATATAATAATTAATATAATAATAATATAATAATAATACATAATTAATATAATAATACATAAGCTTAAAAAAAGGGAAAAAAATTCTGACAAAAATTGCCATCTGGTTAATAAGTAAACTTTTTTTTTTGAAG